TCAATTTACATTACATTTCCATGGTAACCAAGCTGTACTAATAAATATACTTATAAATATCTAAATGCATGCATCCGTGTGGTGACGGATTAAGAATACGAAATGTCACCACCAGTATTCATCCCGTGGGTGTCGTAAGAGCCGACTAGGGGATAAAACTGAACAGGACAACAGCACTGCAAAAAGAAGAAAACTTGAAACAAACCCTATACCATTCCGTCTAGCCAGCGTGGTATAGTAGGCCAAAACCTCCTTTCTAAGGAGAGGCCTATGTCCAGCACTGGACTATTATAGGCTGTTGATGATGATGAAATAAATATTATGAATAAATTACAACCGGACACGAAACAATGATGCTCATGCTTATCAAAAAAAATAACAAAAAATAATTACTGTCTCAAGAGACAGTAATTATTTTTTGTTATTTTGTTTGATGGAACCTATAATGAGGAAATGTGTTTATATTTACATATAAACACATTTCCTCATTGTAGATTCTCTATTTACAGTTTATCAATATAAATGTTGTCAGATAAACCAATTAAATTACGCTCATTTTTACGTCATAGTACTGATACCTACTGTTATTTTTTATTCTGTAGTTATAGAGAGTTTATAGTTTTAATATAAAGAATAATGTTGTACAGAGATGTCACATATTTAAATACTCCTTTGTACTGATAGCCGCCCACGCACATAAATAAAAAAAAATTAATTCACATTCGATTGAAAATTTATCAAATTATATTTAGCTCAATATGTTGAAGAAGAAAAATTGACAGTTAATCATGAAGTGGTAGATTATACGTCAAATGGTCACACAAACATGAAACAACTATATATATTTTTGTTTCATGTCAAATTTCAAATTTTCATCCGTGAGGAAATAACGCATCAAAAGTTATTCAACATTACATTCAATGCGCTAACTAAAAGAAAGAATTTTATTGTAGTGTTTCTTTACAATTTGTAAAAAATTAAATAAATTAATAAATAATTACTATGATAAGAAAATTAATTAATTTATTGCCACTTACATTAATAGTATACGAGTATAACACTTACTATAAAAAGTTATTAATTTGGGTTTAGACTTGCTTTTATTTTCTTTCTCAGGTAGGTAAGCGGTGTCGGGGCACCAGGGACTTCCTTTCTAGGGTATACCTGGTTCTCCGGCTATTAGTACCCGAGACGGCGTGCGGTTTTAGTCGGTTCGAGTCCGACATGCCACCAACAGGTGGTATCCGAGGGAATTTCGGCACGGAAAAAAAAAAAAAAAAAGGTAGGTAAGCGGTACTATGTATGTATGTATGTTCAACATGTCAGCTAATAACGATCGAAACTCGTCTACCAGACAATCGCTAACAATAGTTGTAACATATTTATATTACTCACATCTATATTTATTTTTTTTATCTTATATAACTTACTTACTTTGCCTTACTTTGCCTTTAGCGCATTGAGGGTGCCGTCTAAGTCCCTGCCGGGTAATATGACGTCTAAGGTAAAGGCGAATATCAACTCCTCGGGCTTTTACCAGTTTGAAGATGAGTGTGACGGCGCGCCAACGAATCGCAGGTCGTGTTCAATACAAAAATCTATTGAAAATAAGGTATTTGAGGGAGACCTAAGAGGAGCCGTCCGCCTGTTGATGTCGAACGACAAATTTGCTCAGGGGGGTTCTGAGACCCTGGCTGCCTTGAAGCTTAAGCACGCCGGCCCGTCGCGCCCACTCAACCCCCCGCCAGCGCCGGATGCGTCATGCGCATTCGTTACCGCTACACCAGAGGATGTAGCTCAGGCGCTAAATTCTTTTTATAGTGGTTCTGCGGCGGGTTTGGACGGCATTCGTCCGGGGCACCTAAAGGAACTCACTTCTAGGGCGGCGGGCGAAAACGGGCAACGTTTAATTTGTAGTCTGGCCAAGCTGTGTAACTTCTTACTTAGCGGTCAGTTAAACCCTGAAGTGTGTCCTTTTATGTATGGGGCTTCGCTTTGTGCCTTAAATAAGAAGGATGGAGGACTCAGGCCGATAGCTGTCGGCAGCGTTTTCCGCCGTTTGACTGCTAAGCTGGCCTGTTGTTCAGTCAGGGAGGAAATGGCCGAGTATCTACAACCGCACCAGTTAGGCTTTGGCACGCGTCGAGGTTGCGAGGCGGCTATCCATGCCACACGGACATACGTGATGGACCCTAAAAACTCTCGTTGCGTCGTGTTGAAGCTTGATATCCGCAACGCTTTTAATACCTTGGAAAGGGATGTTCTGTTAAGCGCAGTTAAGGATGAAATTCCTTCCCTCTATCCTTTCCTTCACCAAGTCTATAAATCTCCTTCGAACCTCTTTTACAATAAGGATCTTATTCTTTCGCAAGTGGGAGCTCAGCAGGGAGATCCACTTGGGCCACTCGTCTTTAGCCTTGCCATCCACAAAATCATTTCCAAGCTGGAGTCACCCCTAAACCTGTGGTACCTAGATGACGGTACTATTGGCGGACAGCCTGAGGTGGTGGCGAAAGACGTTACGGTTTTGATCCCACGCCTCAAGGAGCTAGGTTTGGAGGTGAATCCAGCAAAGTGCGAGTTTTTCCCCTGCAGTACTGAAGCTCGCACACACTTTACACACTTTGAAATGTTCTTTCCTGGCCTCAGCGAGATCACACCAGGTACCTTCAGCCTATTGGGCTCTCCCATTTTCCTTGAGGCAGTCCCTGAGGCCATTGCTGCCCGTCAAAATCTTCTCCTTGCCACTCGTGAACGTTTAAAGCATCTTTCTCCTCATGTTGCGGTTCTGCTGCTTCGTATGTGTTTCGCGGTTCCTAAAATCACGTACTTATTGCGCACTACTCCAACCTGGCTTTGTCCGGAGGCTGTCTCTTTGTTCGACGGTGCTTTAAGAGATACTGCTGAATCGATCCTTAACGTCTCCCTTGATGAGCACCAGTGGATCCAGGCAGCTCTGCCAATAAGATATGGGGGTCTCGGATTACGGCGTGTGCTGGATGTTGGCTTGCCAGCCTTCCTAGCGTCGGCGCATGGGGTTGCGGACCTTGTCGCTGTCACACTTTCTCCAAATGGTGATAGGGCGAGCATACCTTATGTGTCCGAGGCGGTATCGGCATGGTCAGCCATCAACGCAGGTGAGCCATTGCCAGTGACCCTACACGTCCAGCGAGCATGGGATGACGTTGGAGCTAAGGGACTCCTTAAACAAATGTTGGATACCGCTGGGGGTACCGATCTGGCAAGACTGAGGGCCGTATCGCAGCCAGAGTCAGGGGCATGGTTACATGCACTCCCATCGCCTCACTTGGGTACCTTGCTGGACGGCGACTCTTTGCGTGTGGCAGTGGCTCTCCGCCTGGGCTGCAGGGTGTGCGAACCACATAGATGCACCTGCGGTTCCATGGTGGGGGCCGATGGTCTTCACGCACTGAGTTGTCGTCGCTGCGCAGGTAGATTTTCGCGACACCATGCCCTAAATGACATAGTCCGAAGGGCTCTTATATCCGCCAGTGTACCCTGCGTGCTGGAGCCATCGGGTCTTAGCAGATCTGACGGGAAGCGGCCGGATGGCTTGACTTTGGTGCCGTGGAAAAACGGCAAGTGCTTGGTATGGGACGCCACATGCGTTAGCACAGTCGCGGCCTCACATCTGAGTCGCACCGTCCAAGCCCCGGCGGCGGCGGCGGAGGATGCCGCTAGTAGGAAGCGATCAAAATACGCCGCAATGGAGACGCACTATTATTTTGTGCCTATTGCGGTGGAGACTTTGGGCAGTTGGGGGTCAGAAGCTAAAAAGTTAATTGCGGAGATTGGTCGCCGAGTTAGGGAAAAAAGTGGTGACTCCCGCTCCGGCTCGTTTCTGGTGCAAAGAATGTCCGTTGCAATTCAGCGAGGCAATGCTGCCAGTATCATGGGCACCTTTGCACCGGGAGCGACGCGGGGCGGGTTATATGATCTGACTTAAAAAAAAAAAAAAAAAAAAAAAAAAAAATTGTAACTTAAATGTATGTATTTTTGTCTTGAATGTCTATTACACAAAAAGTAAATCGAATCTTATATAATATTGTAAAAGAAAACACGAAATATGCACAATGACACATTTAAGTAAATCATTTCTAAAACTTCAATACAGCAACAATCTTTTAGCATGGTTTTGTATAACACAAACAATGCTCCGTGTTAGAAAACAATGTTAAAATTAAATAATTAAGTATATAAATAAAACAATTACTTATATGTTCAAAAAGTAACAATATTTAGGACGAAAATTCCTTTGTGAATTGCCACCAAAAACACATTTTTTCAAAAAGAGTGTGTTTTTGGTGCCCCCCCCCCCCCCCATTATTACTCCCTACGTACTCGACGCATCACAGAAGCCGCTCTTTTTCTTATAGCTGCATTGAAGTAGTTTTTACAGACCGCAAAGAAAATTCCTCATGCGCTGCAATAATATGACAGCCCTATTATTATCTTTAATTCATTGTTTTAGAGGATACGAACGGTATCGATAGATCTTTGAATATGTCAGTCCCAGAAATTAAGCATTATACCATCAAGATATTTATTTGTTTTATTTTATAGCCATGAATATGTATGTTAACTAGATTGAATGTGAGAAAGCCAATCATTTTTAAATTATTTCCATCTCTCTTTAATGATTTGAAAACTATCATTTTTTAAATTACAAATCATCTCTCAATCACTCTTGAACTAAATCCTTTCATCATGTTTTACACTATCTTCTCAAAGTTTCCCTTGTCATATACCGTTCGATGACTTAGTTGCACAAATCTCTGACTGCGACTCTGGAGCTGCAAGTGTCGAATGGCGACTGCGTTACTTATACCATCATACTATAAAAAAACTAATTTCTAGCTACTTTAGTGAAATGCTAATATGTGCTCCACTATTTATTATAAGGCAGGCAATTATATTATCTTTTTAATAGAATATTATGTAGAGAAACTTACCTTTCCTTAGGTCGATTTCAACCATTATTATAGTGAGGTTGTCGCTTTTCTGAAGAATTTCTTTAAAACAGCTTGCCTTACTTCTAATTCAGCTTCATCAACTAGAATACAACAATAGTGATAATATATTCTTGTGTCTCGAGAACTTAACAAAAACATGTATTTAATTAAACGACATAAAGTAAATCTGGGCCTGGGCCTAGAGCTCAGATTTGTACGTTCAAAATACTCCATTTGATTTTAAAGTTAACATGTTTATAGAAGATTATTGTTAATAGACATACCATTCCTTTGCGTCAAATTTCTTTTCCGGCATGTTACATATAAATACAAAGAAATTGTTATGACTACTGCTCCTAGTAACGCCGCTACCGCATAAATCCAATTATACCTTGTCCTAAAAGGAAACAATAGCTTAATAACAGGAATATGTAGTAAATCTACTACCAAAGCTTTGTCTTTTAGATTTCTACTCAGAGTTACGCATTAATTCCTAACATGCAATCCAAAGAACACAATAGGAATAACGGGATACAAATAAAGTTACATATGTCGAGAGTGATTAAAATTTGCTTACATGTGAAATGATGAACTTGTTGCTCTAGTAATATTTTTATAGAGGCAAATTTTAACAAAAATTAACAGAAATGTAAATGATGAATTACTAACCAGCCGTCCAGTCTTGCCATATTAATCGAAGACGAATCATTAGCCACACAAGTGAAGTTGTTTTTATACTCGTAATATCCTAAATCACAAACACAGATTTCTGGACTGACACAGCTACCATGAAGACATCCACTAGAACAGTGAGGTTCGCATACATAACTTGCTCTCTTATCTTTGCTAGAGTTTTTATATCCCGACAAACATTCACAAGTATCTGGAGCTATGCACGTGCTGTTAATGCAAGATTTAGTACATATTGGTTGACAGGTCTTATTCATCGGGGCAGTTTTTTCCAACATCTGCCATCCCTTACTACAAACACATGTTTCTGGTCTGACACAACTACCGTGAAGACACCCACCAGAACAGTGAGGTTCACATATATTACTAGCTATTTTATCTTTGCTAGACTTTTTATATCCTGACAAACATTCACAAGTATCCGGAGCTACACAAGTGCCGTTTACGCAAGGCTTTGTACATATTGGTTGACAGATCTTGTTCACTGGGGCAGTTTCTTCCAACATCTTCCATCCTTTATTACAAACACATGTTTCTGGACTGACACAACCACCATGAAGACACCCACCAGAACAGTGAGGTTCACATATATTACTAGCTATTTTATCTTTGCTAGACTTTTTATATCCTGACAAACATTCACAAGTATCCGGAGCTACACAAGTGCCGTTTACGCAAGGCTTTGTACATATTGGTTGACAGATCTTGTTCATCGGGGCAGTTTCTTCCAACATCTTCCATCCTTTATTACAAACACATGTTTCTGGACTAACACAAATACCATGAAGACACCCACCAGAACAGTGAGGTTCACATACATGACTAGGTGACTTATCTTTGCTAGACTTTTTATATCCTGACAAACATTCACAAGTATCTGGAGCTACGCAAGTGCTGTTTACGCAAGGTTTAGTACATATTGGTTGACAGATCTTGTTCATTGGGGCAGTTTTTTCCAACATTTTCCATCCTTTATCACAAACACATATATCTGGACTAACACAACTACCATGATGACATCCACCAGAACAGTGAGGTTCACATACATTACCAGCTATTTTCTCTTTGCTAGACTTTTTATATCCTGACAAACATTCACAAGTATCTGGAGCTACACAAGTGCCGTTTACGCAAGGTTTAGTACATGTTGGTTGACAGATCTTGTTCACTGGGGCAGGTTTTTCCAACATCTGCCATCCCTTACTACAAACACATGTTTCTGGTCTGACACAACTACCGTGAAGACACCCACTAGAACAGTGAGGTTCACATACATTACTAGCTGTCTTATATTTGCTAGGCTTTTTATATCCTGACAAACATTCACAAGTATCCGGAGCTACACAAGTGCCGTTCACGCAAGGTTTAGTACATATTGGTTGGCAGGTCTTGTTCATCGGGGCAGTTTTTTCCAACATCTTCCATCCTTTATCACAAACACATGTTTCTGGACTGACGCAACTACCATGAAGACACCCACTAGAACAGTGAGGTTCACATACATTACTAGCTGTCTTATCTTTGCTAGGCTTTTTATATCCTGACAAACATTCACAAGTATCCGGAGCTACACAAGTGCCGTTCACGCAAGGTTTAGTACATATTGGTTGGCAGGTCTTGTTCATCGGGGCAGTTTCTTCCAACATCTTCCATCCTTTATTACAAACACATGTTTCTGGACTAACACAACTACCATGAAGACACCCACCAGAACAGTGAGGTTCACATACATGACTAGGTGACTTATCTTTGCTAGACTTTTTATATCCTGACAAACATTCACAAGTATCTGGAGCTACACAAGTGCTGTTTACGCAAGGTTTAGTACATATTGGTTGACAGATATTGTTCACTGGGGCAGTTTTTTCCAACATTTTCCATCCTTTATTACAAACACATGTATCTGGACTAACACAACTACCATGATGACATCCACCAGAACAGTGAGGTTCACATACATTACCAGCTATTTTCTCTTTGCTAGACTTTTTATATCCTGACAAACATTCACAAGTATCTGGAGCTACACAAGTGCCGTTTACGCAAGGTTTAGTACATATTGGTTGACAGATCTTGTTCACTGGGGCAGGTTTTTCCAACATCTGCCATCCCTTACTACAAACACATGTTTCTGGTCTGACACAACTACCGTGAGGACACCCACTAGAACAGTGAGGTTCACATACATTACTAGCTGTCTTATCTTTGCTAGGCTTCTTATATCCTGACAAACATTCACAAGTATCCGGAGCTACACAAGTGCCGTTCACGCAAGGTTTAGTACATATTGGTTGGCAGGTCTTGTTCATCGGGGCAGTTTTTTCCAACATCTTCCATCCTTTATTACAAACACATGTTTCTGGACTGACGCAACTACCATGAAGACACCCACTAGAACAGTGAGGTTCACATACATTAGCTAGCTGGCTAGCTGTCTTATCTTTGCTAGGCTTTTTATATCCTGACAAACATTCACAAGTATCTGGTGCTACACAAATGCCGTTGGTACATGGCTTAATACAGACTGGCGTACACGTGTTGTTCATAAAGCTGTATCCCCTGTTGCATTTACAAGTATCTGGTGCAATACAATTACCATGTCCACAACTCTTCACGCAAATTGGCGTACATTTATACTTATTGTTCAAATCTGGTGCATAGTTTTCATTGCAGGCACATTTTTCAGGACTTTGGCAGAAACCATGTTCACAAGCCTTGGAGCAAACGGGTTTGCACTGGAGTCTGAATAAAATAAACATTAAATTATATTAGCGATATAGTTAGAACGTGTTAACGGAAGTTCTAAAGGGAATTACCGCATATATAATGTTTTACATACTATCATCATCATCATGATCATCAACGGCCTTTCATAGTTCACTGCTGGACATAGGCCTCTCCTTAGAAAGGAGATTTTGGAGGTATAGGGTTTGGTAGTCATACCATGACTAGTAAATACCTGTTAGTTTTCACTTGAATTTAAAATTGAACTTACAGTAAAAATTATAATTCCTGAGAAGCTAATCATGATAAATGTTGACTTGAATTAAAAACGAGTTGACATTGTTTCGCGATTGATGGTGTATTTTTCGAAAAACAAATACTTGTACATAATAAATTATAGCAGTATTGTATGAAACTACCACATTTAAACAAACATAATTTGTCCCTCTTATGTATTAAGGAGCAAGCCTGTTACAGTTTACTGGGAACTTTAGAAATTCGAGTAAATAATTTTGTGTACATGTAATTTTAATATACATCGGAAGGTGACTTATACAAAGGGTGTAAGCAATAGTTAAAACAGATCATAGGGGTCAGGCATGCGGAAGTCGTCCTGTGCTTTTAGAAGCCACTAGTACTAGCGGCAATGCGCCTGTACAGGAGCATCAACTGACCGTAAATTAATGTACATGTTTTGTTAATTTAACTACTTTTCTTTAAACTGCGTGATGCGATTTGTTTTTGCAGAAAAACTGGATTTAAAAACACTTGTTCAATGTAGAAATATTCTCTTGTAGACACTCTAGTAAATTATTAAATTATTATTATCCGGAGATAGCTAATTTAAAGTTATTAATAAGAGATACTCATTACTTACGTCCTGTAATTTTCATCTTTGACGTAACCTGGACAGCAATCATTATATGGAGTATTCACAGTTATCTGAGGTACAAAAAAAATACTGTTGAAGTTTATCAGATTATAGAGAGTATAGGCAATATTCTAGTGTTGATTTTGATTTAAGCAAAACAAGAACTGTAATTAACTTACGGTTTTTGTCCTGGTTATATTGCGGTAGACCCATCTAGTACGTTTGCACCTGAACCAACAACGAGGTTTTCTATAATGTTCTCTTTTCGATGCAGTATATATTTCCAAGCGATCTTCCGAAGTCCTGCGTCAAAATCACTCATAAGTAAAGTGGTTATTTTTTTTTTTTTTTTTTTTTATATTGTACCACATTCACACAACGCCATCTAGTCCCAAACTAAGCAGAGCTTGTACTATGGGTACTAGATAACTGATATAAATACATATATACTTTTTTTTTTTGTAAATACATACTTATTATACATAGAAACACCCAGACCAAATCAAACATTAAATGTTCATGCACACAAATGTTTGACTTGAGCAGGAATCGAACCCGCGTCCTTTGGAATAGCAGTCCGTTACACAAACCACTACGCCATTCGGTCGGTCGATAATTATTTAGATTTTAAACACAATTACACTAAAAATATATATTGGCTACAAAAAATTAACTACTGTTACTAATGTTAATTACTGAATTAGATTAAAACAGATTACTATTTACACTTTTGACTTGGTACATATTTGAGTATTTGTATACGAATTATAAAATGTTATAAACACAATGGATAACAGGAGCATTGATACACTTGTCCTTCCCACACACATTTTCACGATACTGGACTCGTGATGAAACTGCTCTGTTGTAATTGAGATAAATAATAAATAAAGAGTATCATACATTAATCAACTTACATGAACAAGCTTTAAAACCTTCTCTTTATATTTATTTTAATTTACTTTTAAATTGTCAGTCGCCATATTATTGCACTGTTAACTGTGCATTGCCTAACATAATTTGTTAGACCCTTTCAGACTAGAGTCATGTAAAAAGTAACCATTTTGTTTTTTTTAAACTAAAATATCGTTGCAACTAAGAATGTGAAATATTTATAAACAGTTCTTTAGGTAAATATGTGGGCAGACAGATCCATTGCTAACGATTTCTTAATTACAACATCTATATTTACAGGGTTATTGGGTAAGTAGACCTAGATACTTTAAGGGGTTGTAGTTGCCATCATTTCTGATAGATATCACTATGAAATGCTATATTCCAAACCTAACCATTTTCAAGATATTGTATTTTAAGATTTTTTTATAAAAATCACCGAAATTTTGTCTAATACATTTTTATAGAATTTATATTCTTTATTTTCTGCTTTTTTTACTGTTTTTGTATACTGATTGTGTTTTGATACATTGTTTTATAATTGGCATTGTGGCAGTGTGTGATAATTATATTATTATCATTGAATATAATAAAAAATTAAACAGTTAACAAAAATACACGAAAGGCCTGCTTTATTTATTAGACAATGTTCGATTGATCTCACTTTTACTGTATAGCTATCTATCTATAATTGCCACAACCTAGAGACACTTTCATCGCAGTATTGAAAAATGTGAACTCGAGTAGGATATTTCAATATAATTTAGACAAGATTTCCAGTGATTCAATATTGTTGATTGTAGTTTTTATAAAAAATACAGTCAGCAAACTTACGGCGTTTGGTATAGCTACAAATTAGTTATTTTGCAATGCGTAGCTTGGGCACCTGTCGTTTCACTATCACGTGGGTAAGAACAAGTTCCAAGAATGTTCTAATACTTTACATTGAAGTTTTTGTATGGAAATATTAAAAATACAATGGCAGATATCCATGCCTAATTTAATTTGGAGTAAAATGGTAGTGTTTAAATATCAAAAATGTCTAAAACACTTGAGAATTTATTCTTGACCATTCCGCTTAAAAAAAATACTATGAAATGAAATGATATTTATTTCTGCAAGTAAATCTTTTTAGATATTTTTATAAGTTGGACTTTACAGCTAGACTTAACTTAGACTCGCTCTGGGAAGAAACGCCGAAACAAACCACAGAGGTGAGTGAGTGCAGTATAGGGTCTGGGTTGGCCTTTTAAACAAAGGACCATAGTATTGAGTCGGCCCTTAAATACAGACGGCTTATGAGCCCCAGCCAATATTTTTTTTAAATATAACTCCCGCACTAGGAAAGAATCCTATGTAGTGAATCCTTTAAATCGGGGGAGTCAAAATATTCTAAATAATTTCTAACTTTGTTGATTTAGTTATTCTACCGTACTTGTGAACCCGTGTTCGGTAGGTATTTCAGCCAAAGCTCTAAAAATCGATTGTCGATAAAACTTTCCATAATATAATAATGCCATCACGCTTCCCTAGTCAGTTACACAAATATGTTAGACGTTACGTACTTAGGTCAAATAAGTTCTTCAAAAATTACCTATCTCTTATAAGTCTTATACAACACATACATGGTAGTGTAATGATAAATTATAAAATGTTTTTTTTTATTAAATTTCATCATCATCATCATCATCAGCCTATCGCAGTCCACTGCTGGACATAGGCCTCTCCCATTGCACGCCACTTAGATCGATTTTGGGCTTCTCGCATCCAGCTCCTGCCAGCCATCTTGCGCAAATCGTCACTCCACCTGGCCTGTGGGCGTCCTACACTACGTTTGCCGAGACGCGGTCTCCACTCAAGAACTCGTTTTCCCCAACGGTTATCGGTTCTGTGTTTATTAAATTTACTACGATTTAATTTTTTAAACACTTTTCGTGAGTGTGAGTTTTACGTGAATATGATTCTGCCATTATTCTTTACATAATACTGCATGGATGGCGTGGTGGTTTAAGCGGTCGCCACGCCGCTTCCTACTACGCTGAGTGTTGTGAGTTCGATCCCCGCATGGGACATCACTTTGTGTGATCCACAAATTGTTGTTCTAAGTCTTTGTGTTCTTTGTGTCCGTTTCATGTATATTTCTAAAGGCCCCCGCGACACAGGATATATATTCCTAATGCGGGAGTTGTCTTTTTTTAAAAGAGAAAGAAAAGAGATAATTACCGGGATATTTTATAATTAGCAGCACTATTATAATAAGCAGAGCTTATGCACCTTTGGAAAGTATTATTAAGCTCTATTTCATGGTGGAAGATTAAGCCATAGTTTTACATTTACCGATAAAATCTTAGTTTTGTAAGACCTTAATAATTACAAAATTTCAATGAAGTTATTGTGATTTCAGTGATAATAGTAGGCATTCGTCAAGCTGCTCTCCTAAATACGAATCAAAACGGCATACATTCTGTAAATGGTAACACATTTTTCTACCTGACTGTACTCGCGTAACAATTCAGACTAAATTTATCCCAATAATGTTGTCGAAACTCCAACGAAAATCATCAAAGAACCCAACAAATCCAATTCAGTATGAGAGAAGAGTTCAACTAGCCAGGTATTAGAACTTAACGAGGTACTTCAACCCTTTTGAGATTCGGTTACTTAAAAATATGTAAATAAAGTTCCGAAGGTCTTTCCTAGCTCGTACTTAAGAAAATAATAACGGTTTAATTATCCAAATAAATGTCTGAATAATAGAGTACCGCTTATATGTTAATTTCTTAACGTTTTTGAAACGCCAAATATTGAGTATTTGGCGCCACTTAGTTTTAGATCTCGTTTAGTCTCACGTTGTCACAATTTGAATTAAGTTTAGCTATTCTAAGACATCTGATGAAATTAAGATTATTTTTTTGCCACTCTTTGAGGATATAATCAATAGTCATAAAAAAAGTGGAACAGCAAAACTTGACTTTATGTTCAGAACGACTGAGTTTTAAGTTCTTAGTAATTTAGGAGACTTTTAAAAATGTATTCTATCAAACTGGTTGATCAGGCAGGTTCTGATATTATTTATGTGACGTGAATGTCATGATATATTGTGACTTGTTTTTATGTTATATTTTAAATGAAACTTCGTACTTTTCCTTCGTCATCCTTCGCCAACCTCCAATGGGCGAAGAACATCCATGAGGATATTCCACCACGTTAACAATAAAATGTGGGGGATATAATGTATCCTCATCTTAACAATAGATCATAATCAGAGCGTGGATTGAATCTATATCAATATTATAAAGCTGAAGAGTTTGTTTGTTTGTTTGTTTGAACGCGCTAATCTCAAAAACTACTGGTCCGATTTGAAAAAATCTTTCAGTGTTTGATAGCTCATTTATCGAGGAAGGCTATAGGCTAACCAATAGGAGCGGAGCACCAATAAAGAATGTTTCAAAAACGGAGAAAATTTATTACTATTGAGAGACGCAGATGAAGTTGCGCGGGTCAGCTAGTATATAACTATTTGTATGGCTGTAAGTCAAAGGGTAACAATTCATGACGTAAGAGTAAATTGAGGTACATTTTACTCTTTAATCATTTCTATATTAACGAACTAAAATTAGATCTTTGTTTTGTAATAGCTAGTGATAATTAATAGGTCACAGAATAATAAAGGCGAGCTTCCATCTAATCCACATAATACTTTATTATCTTGAGGCTCATTTTGATCTCGTTGGAAGAATTGTCTTGTAGGAATTTCAGAATGACAAATATGCTTTCTTTAAAAGAAAACTGTGAGTTGACTGACTATTTTTGTGTTTAAAACTAACAAAACACAATAATTATATACATTTTGTAGATGAATATAAATATATATTATTAGAAGTGACGTCTTGAATAAATCTAAAATACCTTAAATTGTTTACCTCATTATTTACTATTATAATCCTAACTGTTTTACTTTTCGTTAAGTAGTTACCTTTAATTTAAAGTAAGAAATACTGTACCATACAATATACTACCCCGATAATACCATAGGTAAATTGTTATTATAAACACGCGATTGGGCCTTTCCAGGACTACGCCTTCAATTCAATTTGATGACTTCTGAACTTAAAATAACTTAAGCACAATATTTTCCCTTATTTTCTATACTACTGACTTAACACAATAATATGAGCAGTATCTTATTAATATATATAAGTAAATCAAATATAACGAAACAAATCTGTCTATGTATTGACAGACATGGCACAGACAACTTTTAAAATCACGCTACAAGGATCTTTTTCTTCTCAAATCAAAATCAAACTTTTATTTCACTGCAATTAATGACTTTTTTTTAATTTGATTTTTCTTCTAATATTTCTAATAACTAATATTTCAAAAACAAATTGAGCAAACAAACTTTTATAAAATGTTTTGTAAATACATAACTGGATTGAAACCGCTTGGATGATCAGAACATGAATTTCCCTCGAGTAAACTTAAAAAGTAACTCTGTCCAAGGAAAAATTTATATACCAATACATAGAAAGTACTTTGAGGAAAGTTAGTTTGCTCGTGAATGCCAAGAGAAATCTTTATAAAAAACTCTCGTCTCTGAGAGACTGAACATATGTGTGATTAATGACTTGGAAAGGTTATCGTTACCTGTTTCTTAGAATTAGTCAGTTAATTATTTCTAATGTTTTGATCATAAAATAATGAGAAAATAAAATAGATTGATAGACCTGATTTCACAATCAAACATTACAATAAACTGCTCGATCTTAACACAGCCTGCAATTTGTTGCCGAAAATTATCGATGAAAACAAGAGCCAACCTCTTCGGTTTTATTATATGTAGGATATTTTATTATATGTTATATGTAGGAACTGAAAGTTTTCTACCAAGAAAATATATCAATTTAACTTTAACATTTTATAAAATAATAAA